ATTAAGATAGCGAAAGATGCATTCCAAAAATTATGCAAAGAAACAGAAGAATTTCGTTAGGAGCTTGAAATAATAGTTAATGACGCAGCAATCTAGTTGTGGTGGTTGATACTTTAATGTCCGACATCGACTGACTCACCAACTCACTCTGAGCCCCCTGGCGACTGCTACTACTACTACTTATTATATCTGGGAGAGTCTATTTACAATAGAATAGGTATGTTCTAGTATAACAAAAATACAGAAAATTGTGGAGAGTCATGATAGTGAAAAGCCTGAAGAGACAAGGTACATAGAATATGTCTATTTACCTGGCGTAAAAAATAATTATTTGACATTTTGAATTTCATATAGATTAAAACATCAGCAAGGTGCGTCCAACTATTTCAGCCAATAAGCAGAAAGTCGGAACATCCTCCAGTGTCAGATTTATCTGCTGCATATGCGTCCATCCAAACGGCTACGTATTCTGCTGCGAGGTCGACTCCAGTCTGCACATGACGGGCCGAACTGGTAGATGACTTTAATGGTGTGGTTGGTCATCAGTTCGTCGCAGGATGTGAACACGGCGCTGACCGATGGTACGGAGGATACTCGGCTGGTCGGTCCTCCGGTGAAGCTCCTCACTGGACACAAGATCGATGGTCCTAAGAACGCGGGACTCGAAACCATGGAACTAATCTGTTAAAGTTAGACCTTTGTAGGGACATTCAGTTGTAAATGAGAACAAGTGATGACAGATTTTAAATAAAGTTTCCCAGTCACTAAAAAATAGATTCCGTTTTCGTTTACTCACGTCTGGCACTATTTCCCTTTGCGGAGGTATATAACCTGTAATGTTACTGCGAAACTTGAACTGATAAGAAGTCATTCAACATTTTTCTGCTCTTGAGAACAAGGGTAATGTAATGAAATAAAAGCGAGTCATAAAAATTTACAATGTAAATCGGAGCTTAAGACATGGAAATATGCGTACTTTTTTTTCTTATCTCAGAGAAAATAGTACCAGATTGTTTTAGGACCTTGATCAATGACGTCATTCTCCAGACGGAACATGGAGGCAAGAAATGCAGATTGTTATCTCTTTACGATCGAAGAACATGAGAGTAGAAATCAAAGAAAGAAGGAAATTCATTAGAATATTTCGAAGCGGATTTATTAGCTTCATATCAATGGTTATTATGAATTGATCTGCTAGCATTATACAGAGGTATGTATAGATACTAGATTCACTGTGTTTGCTTTAAATATACGCTCTTTAGCGCTAGGCGGGGGCGTCGTGAGTGATGTTCTGAATTGGGTCATTGGGCAGTTTCGGGTCTTTCAAACATTATACTCCCCTCACCACATTGACCACATCAGAGCTGATCAGTCTCTGATTCGCCCCCTTCCATCTAAATTAACAGCCTTCAGATACTGACATATTAGGCAAACCCTACCCCTCTGTTACGCATCTGATTGGAAGTTGACCAACAGCCAATCGCAGTGGTGTGAGCTCTTTTTAAATCATTTACGGGGGATTTTTTACTTTTTCTTTTTTTTTTAATGTTATATTTTAAAATATTTCAGGTAACTCGCCTGAAACATTGTGTCTGTAATAGCATTATAAATTATGGTCACCTGAAGATGGTTACAGAGTACTTGGCTGAAACTTTGTGTCTATTACAATCAAGGCAAGGAAAATAGTGCAGAATAATTACATTATATTGACAATTATTCATTTGAAAAGTAAAACATAAAATTGATCAAAAACTGGTACTCACCCGCCATAGGCTTTGTTGTAACCTCGGAATGCTTACTGAATGATGAATAACTAAAATTGAGTTTGGAAATGAAATGGTAATCTTTATAACATCAACAAAATACAATACTCTCCAGCGCCGTGAAATAGGTAAACCACTGCTAGTGGTGGACTACTTAGACAGCATATTACCCCCACTTACAATAGTGTCCAACGTATTTATAAAGATTGGGACATACCCATTAGTGTTCATAAGTACGGTGTATAACAGGCTTACGGCCACATCATGTTGAAACAACGATTCCTGTACGATCACTGAAATTAAGCAACGTCGAGCCAGGTCAGTATCTAAATGGGTGACTGTTTGGGAATACCAGTATAGGCTTTGATGTGCAGTTGTGAAATGGATAATTGCTCAGAATTGTTAATCGGAGAGCTGATTCTGGTCGGATTCTTGATATACATTTACATGCAAATCCCCTTGGGAAAGGTATGAATCCTCCTCTTCTCACCCCCAGCTATGGTTTAATTAGTAAGACTTGTATCACTAGATCGTTATTATCTCCAAAAAACATTCTTACAATCTAAAAATGGTTGGTAAGCTGTAGAAAACAAATCAAGAAATAGGTTTATACCAAAACATATCACACCTACAATAATTTATCTGCAAATTATATATACCTATAAATTTACCCTGAAAGCATAAAATTGTGTACAAAATATTGTTGAAGGCATGCATTTGCGTTCAAAATATGTTTCGTTGAAGCCGTAAAATTGCGTTCAAAATATTTAAATTTCGGCATTAAATAACGCATATAGGTGTTGATATACCGCTAAACAAAATCAACCAAACCAATCCATCGTCAGAGCATTTAACGATATAGTGGCGACAGGTGTGCGAAGTTTCGTCTGTGGGAAAGAGGCTGTAGAATTGAAAGTAATTCATCACCCACAAGGCCATGTCGAAACTTTCGATCTCCCTAAGGGCTGGAAAGAGAAGATCGGTCAGCTCCAATCCTGATGTAGCAGAAATACACTACTTTTTGGAATTGTTAATCGGAGCGCCGAGTTCTAATTCCCGTTGGGTTTGCTTATGGGCAAATATTCTTGAGTAAGCTCTCAATCCACCACTTCTTTTCACAGCTATGTGTTAATTCATAAGACTTGTATCATTAAACCATTATTACCGCCACCCAAAATTTCTTCAAATCTAAATGCCGTAATTCCCCATGTATAATACGCATTTTCTCTAAAAAAAAATAATAAGCAAAATTAGGGGTGCGTATTATGCACGGCTACAAAAGTATTTAAAAAAATTACCGTTTAATAGGTTGATTTCAGTTGCGAAATGACTACTCACCACAAACATACGACAATTTGACACTAACAATCGGCAATTGCAACCCTATAAGGATGTGAAATACAATCATATGTACCTAACAATACTTACCAATGTGAAATAAAATAAGAATTACCATAAAACTAAATTAGAATAATATTATTCTATGTTTCAAACCATGTTTTAAATAAAAGTAGGAAACGCTGGCCGTAATGAAACTGGAGAAGTATAATTTATAGGGTTTGATTAACAAAAAGTGGTGCGTATTATGCGTGAGTAAAAGCATTTTCCCACACTTTCATCACAAATTTAGATGTGCGTATTATGGATGAAGGCGTATTATACACGGGGAATTACGGTATATTGTCTGGCTTTAAATAATCCTGAAAGAGCTGATAAGCCATAAAAAACGAATCAATCAAATCAAATAACCCGCCATATTAAGCAGGACGCAACCATATGACATTGAATAAAAGGTCTATAAAAATACACCAGATCGATTCGATGATATAATAGATATAAAAGTTACTTTAACATGTGTTGCTGTCATCTAGTGATCGAGATTTCAATCTCTAGATCAGGTTGTGAAACCCTGATTCCACAGGAACGAACAATAACTTAGTGACATCAATGACCTATTAATCAACAGATATCTCATATCAGCCAAAGAATGAAGAGCTGATGATGATCAGAGGCTACTTGGTCGAAACGTAGTATCTGTAATCATGAAGACAGGGAAAAAATATTTCGAAACAGTTAAAGGACATTAAACAGGCAGCTTTGAAAATCAGTATTGGAAATCCTGGAAGCAGTGAAAAACGCATACTTATGACAATGACAAACCAACAGAGAGAGAGAGAGAAGAGAGAGAGAAGAGAGAGGAAGTGCAGAATTATATCTCGAAACTGTGCATAAAAATATTACACATATATGCAGCCATCTAAAATATGGTAAAAATAATTGTTTTTACACAGGAATTATTCGGTATTAATAAGCAGATCAGTTAACCTTAATGACTGAAATTTATAAAAATTTTATCAAAAGAGTTTTTCAGGAATTTTGGAAATTTCAGTGTTCTAGCTATTTCTGTTATAAAACGGGGTTTCCTTACAAACCTTTTGTTTAGATTAGTGTTGAAAGCTAACATCTTCATTATATTATTATTTTCTATCGAGTTACACGTTCTATCCATTTTTGTTAATTCTGCTGTTTTATTTTTTTAATTTGACAAAGCTCTTTTGGATTCTATAACGCCAGTCTGCAGACTGATGAAGAATTGTCTTTTTTAATATTTAAAAGATTTATTCAATTGAAGAAATTTTAAACATCTTCAGAATTTAACTCATTACTTTAGTTCATCAAAATATAGCCTAATATCGATTATTTCATTGGTTTCAAATCCAAATATTCTTTGCTTTGTCCGTCCTGGATACGACCATAAACTACATCCGCGTCCTGGGTGAGACGTAGCACCTGTTAGGGTCCCATTTATGGGCAAATAGTTAACCCCAAACTGGGGTCAAAACACTATGAAAGTGTAAAAATACGTTTTAGTATCAGCAATGCATTTTTGTAAAAAAATATTAGCAGCAACTAATTTTCGAAGAAAAATTATTAACAACAATACATTATTACCAGCAATACATTTTTGAAAAAAAAAACTATTACCAGCAATACATTTTGGGAAAAAATTTTTTACCAGCAATAAAAGTCTTGTCGGTATTAAATAACCCATTCAGGTTGATATGCCGTAAAACAAAACCCAACGAAACCAATCTCTCTCTCTGTCTCTCTGTCTGTCCCTCTCTCTTTATCTATCTATCTATCTATCTATCTATTTGGAAAAAATATTACCAGCAATGAAAATCTTATTGGCATTAAATAACCCATTGAGGTTGATATGGCGTAAAACAAAACCCAATGAAACCAATCCCTCTCTCTCCCTTTCTCTCTCTCTGTCTCTCTCTTTCTCTCTCTCTCTCTCTCTCTCTCTTTCTCTCTCTTGTCGGCATTAAATAACCCATTGAAGTAATGCAAAATAAACCAAATCAAACCAAACCTTTCTTTGTTACTATATCGGAATTACTTGGTCTAAATATGTTTTTATATATGTTTGATATTATATCTCAAAGGAATTTGACTTTATTCATCATGGGAAGAGGAAATAAATACTACTTGCATTTGTGATACCTAAGGAAACAGTAGATGCCATCATGATGGTGAATCAGAACACCCGTTCCACGGTATGGTCACCTGATGGAGTTACACAGATTTTTTTTTATATTACTGCAGGAGTTCTTCAAGGAGACCCACTTGCGCCTTTTCTCTTCATTTTCTCAGCCAATGTCTTGACGATGTTCTGAGCAAAGCCCTATATAAGAGCTTGCAACTTGGGCTTCACTCTCACTAAACGAAAAAGCAGATGCTACCCAGCCGAGATCACTGATGCTGACTATGCTGACAACATGGCGATACTGACTGGCCATCTAAAAGAGGCAACGTCATTCCTTCACAACATCGAAAATGTAGCCCAGCAGATTGAAATGTATGTCAATGCGGGTAAAACCGAGTTCATCTACCTGAATCAAGGTACATCGAAAGGCATGGAAATTCTGAATGGAGAAAACATCAAGTAGACGACTTCATATACCTGGGTGGCTATATTGCCTTCACTGAGAATGATGTCAACATCAGACTGAGAAAAGCGTGGAGAGCGTTTAATGAAATGAACAAAATCTGGAAATCAAATTTACCGGGCACACTGAAGAGAAACTTTTTCAGTGCTGCAGTAGAGTCCGTCCTTGTATATGGCTCCTTGACCTGGGCACTAACAGCCAGACTGGAAAAGAGGTTATACGGTCCTTACGCACGAATGCTTCGAGTAGCACTATACAAATCATAGAAATATCACCCAACAAAGAAAGAGGTCTATGGCAACATACCTCCCATCAACAAATTAATACGTCAACAAAGACTGAGATGTCCTGGTCCCTGTTAACGTAGCAAATAAAGAAGAACTATCTGGAGATGTTCTACTCTGGATACAATCCCATGAAAAAAGCACTCGAGGTCGACTAAAGAAGATGTACATTGACCAACTGATTGAAGACAAGGGATGAAGACTGGACGAGCTTCCAAATGCAATGAATGACATGAATGGATGGAAGCAACGTGTCATGGAATGCCTAACTTTTTCGACATGATGATAATGATGATGAAGATGATGATGGTATTCTTTCATTTGTTTCAAACCAAAACCTTCCTTTCTTTATTTTCTATATCAGAATTACTTTAATATATATTTGATATTATTTCATTAGTCTGAAAGCCAAATCTATCTTTCTTTGTTAATATATCATAATTACTGGATCAAAATATGCTTTAATACACATTTGATGTTAGTAGAAGAATGACAATAGGAAAAAACCTTAGTTTTAGTCGACGCGTTTCCCCTTCCGACTTTATCAAGGCAATCAATGAAAGCGAAATGTTTTTCTTTCCATAGTTACATTAAATCCAAAATTTAAAATTTCAATTTTAAAATTTTAAAATTGTAAAATTTAAAATTTTAATTTTTAAAATTTTAAAAGATAGAGATAGGAAAAAAAATCTTAGTTTTTAGTCGACGCGTTTCCTCTTCCGACTTTATCAAGGCAATCAATGAAAGCGAAATGTTTTTCTTTTTATAGTTACATTAAATCCAAAATTTAACATTGCAATTTTAAAATTGTAAAATTTAAAATTTTAATTTTTAAAATTTTAAAAGATAGAGATAGGAAAAAAAATCTTAGTTTTAGTCGACGCGTTTCCTCTTCCGACTTTATCAAGACAGTCAATGAAAGCGAAATGTTTTTCTTTTCATAGTTACATTAAATCCAAAATTTAAAAAGAGAGAGACGCTTTTACATAACCCTCTTTTTAGCTATTGTTAACTTACTTTGTATGAAAACAAAAACATTTCGGAAGACGAAACACGTCCTGGATACGACGATAAACAACCTCCGCGTAAAGCGATAAACTACATCCGACAGCAAGGCCTCTGATTAGGAGGTTTTGAGGAGCGTGAAACCACCTCTTAATTGCTGGTGTTACCAGGTCCACCATGACCAGGGGTGGTAGCACCTGTTAGGGTCACAGCTATGGGCAAATAGTTAACCCAAACTGGGGTCAAAACACCATGAAAATATAAAAACTACGTTGTAGTATCAGCAGTACGTTTTTGTAAAGAAAATTACCAGCAACGAATTTTCGTAGAAAAATTATTACCAGCAATGCATTTTTCTATTTGCTACTCAACGATACCGACACATACAAATATATATATATATATATATATATAATACCCAGAACAAATCCGTGGATAATACAAATTTGTATAAGAATGACAATAGGAAAAAATCTTATTTTTTTTTTTTGCCGACGCGTTTCGTCTTCCGACTTCTGACTTTATAAACTATGAAAACAAAAAACATTTAGGAAGACGAAACGCGTCGCCAAACAAAGATTTTTTCCTATTGTCATTCTTATAACAATTTGTATTATCCACGGATTTCTTCTTGGAATTTTACTATGTTTGATATTTTTTCATTTGTTTCAAATAGAAATCTTCCTTTCTTTTTTACTATATTAGAAATACTTTGTCTAAATATGCTTTAATATATATTTGATATTATTTCATTGGCCTGACATTTAAATCTTCATTTATCGTTGCAATCATAATTCATTGGTTTACATATCCTGTAATACCCACTAGACGATTGTCCTTTGGTCTAAAATCCAAATATGCTTGTCTTTGTTGCAACGATCAGAATGACGTGGTCGAAATATCGACTAGTATCTACTGACGTAATATTTCGAAATGTATATGTCTGTACACTTGTCTTTTACGCCCTTCTTTTCTGTTTTCTCCTGATTTCGTATATGGTCACTTATAGCCATGTAAACAAGGAAGCGAAAACTGAAGCCAAGACTTGAGGAAGTCACGCAATCGGAGCAACATAAATTAAAAATAATAAACAGAAATATTTAAAAGGAAACACAAAACCTAGACACTTCCGTATTTGAGTACAAAAGGCAAATGATCTCTTCGCTAGTTCATGTTCAATAGGCTTTTTCCTGACTGCTGTCACCGAACAAACTGAAATATGACTGGCCCCTGGCCTTGTTACCGTGACTATACTGATAACATTTGGTTAACGACTTTGAAAGAACACTAACATTTTAATTTACTTTCCATTCGAAGTTTTAATCGCATAGAAACAAAGAATGTTTACAAAGCTTATCTGAGTCTGACAAGAGGCCAATATATTGCGACATATCGTACTGATTGAAATTGCAATAATCTACGGTTTTTCTGCAAGGCAAATAAAGCTACTAAGACACAAGGGGTTACTGACTCTGAAAGAATAAGAAAAAGAGAACATTATTACGAAGCGAGAATAATAGTTAAATTGGTCTGTTTTGGTTTGTTTTACGGCCTATCAACCTCAATGGGTTATTTAATGCCGACAAGATTTTTATTACTGGTAATATTTTTTTTGCAAAAATGTATAGCTGTTAATACATATTTTTTTAATGTAATAATGTATTGCTGGTAATAAATTTTCTTCAAAAGTTTATTGGTGGTAATATTTTTTTACAAATATTTCTGGTATTAAAACCTATTTTTATACTTTCCTAGTGTTTTGACCCCAGTTTGAGGTTTAACTAGGACTCTAACTGGTTCTATCGGGGACTCTAACTGGTTCTATCACCCCAGGTCAGTGTGGACATATGATCACCAGCAAGTGGTTCAACGCTCCTCAAAACCTCGCGATCAGAGGCCTTGTTGTTGGACGTAGTTTTTCGTCTTACCCAGGAGGCGGATATAGTTTATCGTCATACCCAGAACGGATGATAATTGTGTGGTTGTTAATCTTCAATGTCGTTTGGGTTAAGTTACCGTTCATTCAAAACGTAATTCCGACAATATGAGATTCCATTTTAAGTCTGTTTCGCCACTCAGATTCGGGCAGCTTGATTTGTTTTCTTGAGCGACATTAAAACTAGAATGTTCACGAATAAGTAAATGGGAATAATGAATTAATTTAAGTAACAATTATGTTTGCGGCAGTGTTGTACACCTCACTTTGTAACACACTATGCGACTCCCTCTTTAGTGACTGAATGAATCTATGGTCAACATTTTAGTGCCGACAAGATTGGTCGTATTTCTGCAATTAGGTCTCTTAATTTCACTGTTGAAATTGCTAGTTGGAACCAATTATAATGACGAACGCATCACTCTAATAAAGCGTTCCTTAAATAAAATATATCATGACAGGAGCTGAAAGGTGTGTGATTTACTACAATGTTCAACGCAAAAGGATTGACAAAGATAAATGTCCAGGGCGACCTTATCGGTTACCTGAGCTCACATTTCAGTCACTTTCCCAAATGTTTCTTTTGCCTCATCTATAAATACGCCTTCCTCGTTGGTACCACAACTTCATGGATTTTAAGCATAATAATAGATTGGCAATTAAGTCTTTTAATTTCACTGTTGAAATTGCTAGTTTTAACCATAAGTTTCTTCTGTCTATATCTCTGTCATAAGGTATTATGATTATTTACACTATTTAAATTATTTGGACTCGTTCTCATTACCATATTCACAACGTTTCGGCCGTTGTACGCTCCTGCCTCCAACCAGGTGATTGAAACTTGGAAAGGAACTCTTTATTTAGTCCAGGTCTAGTTCCACGTGCCACATCTCTTCCGAATGTCTCAGTTTTTTTCCCCCTTTAACTCGACTCTCTAAGTTTTTGGTTCACTACTGCTCTAGCCTTTTATTAAACTCAGAACCCTTCGGATCTAGTCACTTGATCTAACCAAGGTCTTTAGCCACTGGCACTTAAGGACATCTGTGCATGAACTTCTGTGACTAATAAGCCTAATGTCTCAGCAACGATTTTTTGCCACTGCTCATATTGCAAATTTTCCGTTTTTATTATTTATATTTTTTCCCAGAGCTTATATTGCAACTTTTGTATTGTTATTAATTGCTCTTCTCCAGAACTCCTTATTACTGGTTCCCGATTTGTATTCATTTCTATGCTTGATCGGCTCAGGAGATTTTTGTGGCTTAGTATATGTGCTGTTTCCTTCGTATTTTCCAGTGATGTTTTCTATCTATTATTTCAATCTACATCAGGGGACGAAATAACGTGTTCAGTTCGAAATTCCATTGTTCGGACTGTTGTCCTGATCTTTATTGCCATATTCATGACGTTTCGGCCATTTTAAGCGCCAGCCTACTTCAGGTGATTGGAATTTCGGTGGATGAAATAAAACAATTCGAAATTCCAATCACCCGAAGAAGGCCGGAGCCTTACTACGGCCGAAGCGTTGTGAAAATGGCAATGGAAATGAGGATAACAGTCCAAATAATGTAAATAATGTGAATAATCAGAAGTTTCTTCTCGTATTTTTCGCTTGTGGAAATCTCTCGACTTTACTTGGTTTCCTGACAACTACAATCAGCAAAGATTTATATGCAATGCCAATCGTTAACTTCAGTC